CCCGATCTGCCGACAAACAGCTGATCGGCAGATCGGGGCAGCCATTTAAATTTAAATGAAGCCGCGATTATTTTAATCGCGGCTTCATTTCCCGCTTCCGATCTGGCTAATCTACATGCCTCCGTCGAAGGAGGCATGTAGTCTAGACACACCCTAACAGATTAAATTCCTGCTCTTGACTGGATTCCTGAAAATGATGAACCCTGTTCATTTATTGCATCCTGAATAATTACCATATAAATTGTCCATTACTCCTCCTGCTCCGTTACTCCTGCTTCTATGAATTATTGGACTTTTATCACATATTGATTCTTGAAAACTGATGTGGACTATGAAACCATGCTTAAATTACTCTTGTTTAAATGATATGAGACTGGGATTTATAGCTTACAGTTCAGATATATTTTCATGCCAAATGAAATTTAAAAAAAAATTGAAGAAAAAGGGAAGATAATAAAGTAATTCCCATTCATTTTGGTGAGCCCATTGCATTTTCCCAACTTTCCTTTAGATGGCAGGAGATTACAACCAATGCTTTTATGTATTTATGGAAAGGTCTCTGATGTAATGCAGTCCTGTGACTGTCCAATGTGACCAGATTTCAGCGTCACATTGCTAGCATAGTTTAATCAGCAATCTTCTTAAACCTGCACTATGTCAGCCACGGCCTCTGATAAAATGCAGATTATGACAGAACTGGTGAGTGAAACTGAGGTCAGTCTTCTTGAATGCAAAGTGTGCTTTGAAAAATATACCCAGAAGAAGAAACATCGGCCGAGGAACTTGCCCTGCGGACATGTTATATGCTTAGAGTGTGTATTCTCTCTAGCACACCCAAGAAATTTTAAATTGGAGTGCCCTTTCTGTCGAAGAGCTTGCAAATCCTCTGAGACGAGTGACTGCTTACCATTGCTGCACCTGATAGAGATCTTAAGCCCTGCAATTAATACTCCTTTAGCTTCAGGAACAACAACTGGGACAGGTGATGAAGCAGCTGTATCAGCATCTCTAGGCTTAACGTTCAACCTTTCTTTTGGAGGCTGGGGAACTTTGGTCAATCCGACTGGGATTGCAATGTGTCGGAGGTCTGGGTGCATAGTAGTGGCACATGATGGCAAGAAAAGGATTAAGCTGTTTGGCTTGAATGGGAGCTGTATACAACAGTTTGGAGAAAGAGGAGATGCAGGCAATGATATTAAATACTCACTTGATGTGACAGTCACATTGGATGGCCACGTGGTTGTCACAGACAGCGGAGATCGCTCTGTCAAGGTGTTTGATTTTAATGGAAGAGGCAAGTTAGTTATCAGGGAATCCTTTTGTTTACCATGGGGTTTGGATACCACCCCTGAAAATGAAATTATCCTGTCTGATCCAGAGGCAGGTGCTCTTTATCGCTTGACAGCCAATTTTAAAAAAGGAGAACTGAAGAAGGCTCAGAAGATCCAATCTAACTTATGCAACCCAAGAGAGGTGGCAGTTTCTCAGACTTCTGGTATTATTGCTATAATAGAGCACCTGATAGCTAAAGGACCAAATGACAGCAGCACAAAAGTGAAGATATTCAGTGCTGACATGAAACTCATTGGCCAGATGGATACCTTTGGTCTAAACCTAGTGTTTCCCTCCAAAGTATGTGCTACTGCTGTGGCTTTTGATGGAGAGGGACACATAATAGTAGCAGATGCCTATAACCAAGCTGTATTGTGCTTAGGAAAACCTGAGGAATTTCCTGTCTTAAGGCCTAAAGTTACCCAAGGGCTTTCTTATCCTGTGGCATTGACTTACACAGCAAACAATTCTCTGATTGTCTTAGACAGTGGTGATCATTCAATTAAAGTGTATACTGCTAGTTGAATTGTTTTGGATGCTTACTAATTTCATTCATCTTCAGATTTTAAAAAGTCATTATGGTTTTTATCTGATGTATGTGGGGTTTTTTTCCTGCCATGGTTTTGTGTGAAACATTTTTAAAGACATGCTGTGTGGTCTTTGACATTTTCTGACTTCTGAGTATGTGTGAGAGACAGCCTGTGTTATAATAGCACCAGATAAAGAGATCTCAACTAGATAACATGGCATTTTTTCTAAACTGTTACATGATTGTTGTTTGGGGTTTTTTTTTCATATAGGCTTGTGTTAGATAATATAAGATCATAGGTTAGTTGTGAAGCAGAGAATGACATGTAGTTATCTTGAAGTCTAGACAATTTGTATTTTTTATAAGGTAAGAGAATCTCGTGAGAGAGAAACAATATTTAGAAATTCTATCAGAAGGGAGACTCTCCAGCTCAAAGGACTGGTAACTGGAAGTAGAGCCTTTAACTTCAAGGTTATTTTAATCCAATTGAGGTTATTAGTGACAAAGTAATTTTGATTATTCAATGGCCAGTTTGAAATGCATTGGGTGGTCAAAGTGTAGTTTCTTCACATTAGAAAACCACATTAGAAAAACCATTATGAAGGCTGCTATTATGAGAGGCCAGTGACTGAAAGGTCCTAGAGACTGACTGACACACCATCTCATTCCTAAAGGTAGACCAATCAGAAGAGTTAAGACGGTGGTACAGTGTTTAGAAGCTTGTATTGTCTGGCCAAAAATTTTCTTTAGAGAATTATTTTCTGGTGGTCAGATTTCCATTGTGCTCTGCTTCTTCATTACCATTAACTTTGCTTTGAAAAATAAAGTTCTAAAATTTATAACAAAGATTGTGTCTTAAGGTTTGACCACAATTACGCATTTTCCTGTGTCATGCTTGTATGAATTCTTGTACTATTCTGTATAGATTCTTACACTACCCTCATCACTGTAGTTTCAGAGTGCTTTCATTTCAATACCTTAGCTGTATAATGAGACGGATATAAAAAGACAAGCTTCTGAACATGCATATAAAGTGATGGCGGTAGTTGCAGTAATGGGCAAAGCTCCCAATGGCTCAGAGATCTAGGCTAGGAACCTATAGCGTGGGGATCAGGTTCCCAAGGCTGGGTCCCCTCCCCAGCATTGGGGAGCAGGTGCTGGTGCTCCAGCCTTATGACCCCCTGCAATCCTCCCATGGGGCTGCAGCACTAGCCTGGGGTCCCTGCTTTGTGTGTGTGGGGGGGGGGAAGGTGGTGTGGAGGGAGGAGTTGAGAGAGCCCCAAGCCTCAGGGGCTGGAGTCAGGCAAGCTGGGGCCAGATCCAACCCACGGGCTCTGCCTGGTGTGAGGGAGGAAGAAGTTTTGTGTGCTGCCACCACCCCCCCGCTCTCCCCCCATGTCAGCTGTGGAAACAGCAGCACAGCAAAGCACTTCCTGGAGGCTTTACCTCTGCTGCTCTGATTGGCTGTAATTGCTTCCTCTTAGCTCCTGCACACACATCCAGTCCTGCGCTCTACCTCCTTCTCAGACTCCCCGAGCCCCAATCCCCATTCTGCACCTGCACCTTACCTAGGGTTGCCAGATGGTTGAAACAAAAATACCGAACACCCCTCCCCTCCCCAAAAAAAAACCACAGGGAAAAAATTCTGTTGAACGAAAAAGAAGGGGGGGACCAAAGTTGCTGAGCAAAAAAAATGGGCCCCAAGATTAAGCAAAAAAAAAAAAATTAAAACAGCATTAAAACAGCATGTTCCCTTTAAGAGTGAGTGCAGGGATAGGAACAGGGAAGAAGTTGAGCACTAAGACCTGGGGGAAAGCATTGCTTCCCCTAGGTCTTTTGGCCAGCAGCCACTTTGTGCGGGCAGCCTTAGAGAACCAACTAAGCATGGGGGCTGGCGTCAGGGGGCTGGGAGTGTTGGAGGCCGGGGGAAGGACGGGCACTGAGTGTTTGTAGGGTTGCAAGGTGCCTGGCATTTTCACCTCCTGGCTGGGGAAAAATTCAGAGAATACCGGACATCTTGGGTGTCTGGTATTCTCTGAATTTTTTTTACTGGACAGGAGGCGAAAATACCGGACAGTCCGGGTGAATACCTGGCAACCCTAACCCTACCTCTTGCCCAGCCCCTGCATCTTGCTTCTGCACCCTGGCTACTGTCCAGCCCCTCCTCCCCCCCACAGCCTGCTCTTGCACCTTACAGCCCTCTCAGACCCACCAACTTCCAACCCACTCCTGCACCCTCCCTCTCGTCCACACCCCAAGCCCACTTCCCGGCAGCTTCCTCACATACACTGAATTCTTCATTTCTGGCCTGCCCCAGAACTTAGGGGGCCCCACAAAATCTAGATTCTGATGTGCAAGGGGTACATGGTGAGTGTCTTTCTGCTTCTCAGTCAGGGGCCATGTCCGTGAGGTTATTTTTATTTTATTTTATTTTGTTTCTCACATTTATGCAGCCTCTGACTGATTTTTCTGTGGGTCAGCAGCTCCAACCCAAAAAATGGTTCCCCATCCATGGTCTAGGCATTTATTTGGTCAAAACTTGTTTACAGCTCTCTGCAACTAAATTAGACATCATACAAAAAATAGACTTTTGTGAGATTTCTGAAAATTTGTGCTTCTAGGTGTCCTATCTAATGAAATATTAGCACTCCTGCTTTCAGACCCAACCAGAACCAAGTGCAGAGGTGGATGAGAAGGGGGAGGGAAGAACCTTATTTTTTTCTTAAGCTTCAGAAAAGATTTGGGTCAGTTCTTTTTTTTTTTTTTTTTTTATCCAAGACCATGAGCTGGGTCTTGAGTAGGAATTATATTACTTTAGTTGGGCTCTTCTCTGAATCTTTTCAAGTTTCTCTGCTGCTAAAAAGAGGCTGTTTGGTAGCTCTGCATTATTAAGTAGTTTGACAGTGGCAACAGTTCTGATATAAGTGTAAATGCTTTGTAAAGTAGATAGACCTAGGTTAAAATTATATATGCCTCTTATTTTCCTTTATTCTTATTTGGCCTTGCAGACTGTGAATAAGAGATGCTGTACTTCCACATGCCCTGAATTGAAGTCAGAAGGAGTCTTTTCAGTAAGTTCAGTGGGCTGTTGATCAGGATTTTAGAGTGTATCATTACTAGACAACATTGTATCCCAACCTAACAGACACATCCTTATGTTAAACAGGACAAGGGCACTTTTAGCATCTCATTTTGCACTAAATGTATCTTTGTATCTGTCTTGTATTAAAATGTTTGAAACTGAATTTCACTAAATAGGCTATTTTCAAAAATTGTGGGATCGGACTAATCCTGTTTTGGATAGTATTGTGACATTTCTGAAACTTATTACAGGTTTCTCTTATTTTACCTTACTCCGTATATTCATTTTTCTTTGGTGGTATCAGTAGATCTGTTGTAGAGTAACTCTTGAGATTTTATGGATCTGGACTGTAAATCTTTTCCAGTCCATTCCACCCATCAAAAACTAATGCCATGGTTCCCAAATTGTGGGACATGAATCCTTGGGTAACATAGAAAAACATTCAGTAGGGCATACCAGGGGGTTGGGCCAGCCTCCATAGTGAGTGTGGAGGGAGTGCCCTCCAGCCCAGCTCTGGCCCCAGCTGCAGCTCCATTCCACACCTAGCTCTGCTGTCATTCCTTCCCTGGTCCCACCCCCCCCCGAAAAGTTCTGAATTTAGCCCAAGTTCTGATGAGCCAACAGTGTAGTAATGCAGGGTGTGGACAGATTCCTTTACTGGTAACTGGGGTGTGTGACAGGAGACGTCTGCAATAAGGGGTGTGAAGAGTGACAAGGTTTGGATTTGCTGTAAGAAGAATTCTGCTGGCCACAGTAGGATTCTTCTGTGGGCCAGGACACTAATGCAGGGAGCACTTCGTTTCTTCTTTACACTCTGCCAGCAAGAGCTTACTATTAACTGTGATGTCTCTGGGGGATACCAAACTGATTTGATAGAGAGGGCACAGTTGTCTACTTTCTTTGGGGAATTGATGTGATTCTAAATGCACGGGAAGGGTATCTTAGAAGTATGTAAAATAATAAAATGTGCTACATGGTTTGACAGTTTAGGGATCTAGACACTCAGGCTATGATCCATCACTGACTTGTCCTTCCAACAAAAATAGCCTCTTTACACCAGGACAGCAGAGAGTAAGGGTTTGTCCTTACTGTTTAACTCATGGATGAAGAAACTGGCCTCCAACAGCCAGGAGCTGAAATATTCAACTTATTTTAAATAAAATCACACTGTTGAAAACTCTAAAACAAACATAAAAAACACAAATTTTCCATATTCGTCTCTCTTGATAGTCAAGATGTTTGTGTTCACAGTCCAACTGTGTTTGTACCCAACCTGCAGTAGGTACAAACTAGGACTGGAAGGGACCTCAAGAGATCATCAAGTTCAGTCCCCTGCCCTCATGGCAGGACCAAGCACCGTCTAGATCATTCCCAGTAGCAGGAAGGTGGCAGCTGGGGAAAAAAGATCTATTCTAGAATGCTGCAGGATATACTGACTTTTACTTGTGTCGAAAGTGGGTTCTTTTGTTGAATGATGCATTATAGTTTATGAATCCCATTGCTTTGCCTTGTAAAACATGGGGCAGGGAAATATTTAAAATTCTGTCTTCATTTATTAAGCTTGGGTACCTAAATATAGATATGAAATTAAGTGTCCTGTCCTATAAAAGTGCTGATTACATTCAGCTCCTACTGACTTATGAAACTATATAAATATGGATTTAGGTGACCAATTTTAGGCACCCAAACTTTTGGCCTGAGTTATCGGATCATGGTGTAGTCATATGACTGCAGTACATTTTCCTCCTCCCATTTGCTCTTTATTCTTTGAAAATGTATGCTAAAACTTAAAATCTATAGAACTCTAAAGATCCTCTGTGTTATTTGAATTTTGTCCCATTTGTTAGGAAACATGCAGAAATAAACAGAAATCTTTGTGATCATAAATTATTTTCAGTAACTATATCTTGAGATGAAAGTATCAGTTGTGTTGGTAAAAGGAAATGTTCTTGATTTTCTCTTTTGTTTTTTATTTATGCATCCATTGGTTTAAAAGATGAGACCACAACAATGGCTGTTTTACAAAGGCTTAATGGTCAAATACTGGTCCCATTGATTGAAGTCAGTTGGAATTTTAACACTGACTTCAAGAGGATAAACATTTGGCTCTGAGGGAGAAGAATGGTAATAAATAACAATTCAAACTCAAATGTCAGTATGAACTTATACAACTGTATCATTGGGTAAACCATGTCTCAGGCACATGGAAAGTCTTTCTAAAAGTTGGTTTGGTAATTTCTCCCAGACTCTTAATTTCAATAATCAGTGGAGGTTTTTTTTTGGTTTGTTTTTAAAATAAAAGAAAAATTTTGTCCAGTCCTTTGTGAACCACATACTCTAACAATTTGCTTCCAAACACATGGGTTGTGTCTAGATTGGCAAGCTTTTCCGCAAAATCATCTTCTTTTGCAGAAAAACATGCCAGCTGTCTACACTGGCCTCTTGAATTTCCACAAGAACACTGACGATCTCATGTAAGATCGTCAGTGTTCTTGCGGAAATACTGTGCTGCTCCCATTCGGGCAAAAGCCCTCTTGTGCAATCATTTGTGCAAGAGGGCCAGTGTAAACAGCACCGTACTGTTTTCCGCAAAAAAGCCCCGATCGCGAAAAGCGTCCTGCCAATCTAGACACGCTTTTCTGAAAATGCTTTTAACTGAAAACTTTTCCGTTAAAAGCATTTCTAGAAAATCATGCCCATGTAGACGTAGCTATGCAGTTGCAGAATATCCCATTACCCTCTAATTTCAGATCTTTGGATACCACCATGTAGATAGATCTTGTGCATTTGCCTGGCACACAAACTGTGCAACTTCCAGTTGGTTTTATTTTGAGGCCTGATCTCATGTAATATTTGCATACAAACATATCCTCTGGTATATTTACAGTGTGTGCAGTAAAATATTTCTCTAGAGGACTTTCAGAAATTCCCATTTCGGGTGCATTATTGAAACATACCATGTTGTTTAGTTTA